TTGCAATGGAAAGCTTTTGTAATAATTGTAGTTTGATGTTTAGGACTTAAATTTGTAGTAGGTTTTGATTCTTATACTTTCATACTTTATATTTGCTATTCGGAATCATAAATGCATGGTTTTAATCGATTAAATCAAGTATTAATCGATTAAAACGTTACAGGTGCTGAAAACTCAACTGACATGGAAATAATCGATTAATACCTATTTCAATCGATTAGCTAATCGATTAATCCTAAGAATAATCGATTAAAGATAGCCGTTGGAGTTTTCTGGTTTTTGAAAACTAGCCGTTGTACTCATTTTAATCGATTAACACTTGTATTGATCGATTAAAAGTGTTAAATGGCCAGTTACGAAGAATGGAAGAGTATTTGCTTGAGTCTATAAATAGGCTCCCTTTATCCATCAACAACAACTCTTCCCTTGTGCTTTAGTACTCAGAAATCATTGAGATTTGTGTGTTCTAGTTCGGCTTGTGAAACTCGTGTCTGAGGAGCTGGTGGAGTGCTACTACGGTGACAGAGGAAATAGCTGGTTCATCCTTGGTGTGTTTGAGGAGGTGTTCGAAAGAGGAAGTTCATCCTTCGTAAAGTATTCGGAGGAAGTGTTTCATCCTTTGTGAAGACTCAAAGGAGGTGTAGGTTCATCTCTTGTCGTATCAAGAGAGGTGGTTTCTAAACTTTTACAAATTGTTTCTTTGTTATTGTAATTTGTAATTATTTTGTGAGTAGTGAACTGTTTATCTTGTTTTGAGATAAGCGACTGGACGTAAGATTGGTAAGATCCGAACCAGGATAAAAAATCATCTGTGCAAATTTCTCTCAACCTTACTCTTGTTATTCATTTATATTATTTGCTTTGTAAGTTTAATTGAGCAGAAATTAAAAAGCACACGTTCATATTAAAAACCCTCTTGGTTTGTTATTCCACGCTAACCCTTCCGCTGCAGCCGCTCTGACAGTAGACGCTAGGAGTTCTCTTTGGAACTTTTTCCAAGATTGAGTAGTAGACATTAGGAGTTCGCTTTAGAACTTTTTCCTAGGTTGAGCAGTGGATGCTAAGAGTTCTCTTTGGAACTTTTTCCTAGGTTGAGTAGTTGATACTAAGAGTTCTCTTTGGAACTTTTTCCTAGGTTGGGCAGTGGACGCTAGGAGTTCTGTTTGGAACTTTTTTCTAGATTGAGCAGTAGAGGCTAGGAGTTCTCTTTGGAACTTTTCCCCAGGTTGAGTAGTAGACACTAGGAGTTCCCTTTGAAAATTTTCCCTAATTGAGCAATGTCGCTAGGAGTTCTCTTTGGAACTTTTTCCTAGGTTGAGCAGTTGACACTAGGAGTTTTCTTTGGAACTTTTTCCTAGGTTGGGCAGTGGACGCTAGGTTTTGTTTGGAACTTTTTCCTAGATTGAGCAGTAGAGGCTAAGAGTTCTCTTTGGAACTTTTCCCCAAGTTGAGCAGTAGACACTAGGAGTTCCCTTTGGAACTTTTCCCAAATTGAGCAATAGATGCTAGGAGTTCTCTTTGAAACTTTTTCCTAGGTTGAGCGGTAGACGTTGCGCTAGAAGTTCTCTTTGGAACTTTTTCCTAGGTTCAGCGGTAGACGTTACGCTAGGAGTTCTCTTTATAACTTTTTCATAGGTTGAGAGTAGAAGCTAGGAGTTCTCTTTGGACTTTTTTCCTATGCAAAATATTTTCACTCACAAAAATATGTGTTAAAAAAATTCAATATTTTACTTTTATAATGAGAAACCATTAGAATCTGACAAGGTTGAAATTTGGTGGTCCAACTAACCAAGTAGTAAGGGATTGAACATACCTATACAGGATATATTTACTCACAAAAATATGCGTTAAATAAAATATTCAATATTTTATTTTTATAAAGATAAGTCATTAGAACATGACAGGGTTGAACGTTGGTGGTCCAATTGACCAAGCGGTAAGGGATTGAACCTTCTTGTGTAGGATATTTTTACTCACGAAAATATGTGTTAAAGAAAATATTCAATATTTTATTTTTAGGTTTAAAACCTAATTTGGTCCTCGTATTTGTGTGACAATCTCAAGTGGGTCATCGTTTTTTTTCAGTCTCAATTGGGTCCATAAACTTGTAAAAATGAGCCAATTAAGCCCTCATCGTTAAGTTTTCACTAACGACGTCTAATTGTGATGACGTGTTTATGATGGTGTGCATTGTTTCATTACGTGAAATTTTTATTTAAATAAAAGAAATTAAAAAAGGAATTAAAGATTTGGAAACCATCGCATCGTTTGCCTCTGGGTTGCCACCGTCACTGTTGCAACACGTTCGCGATGCCATCAACCACACTGGACACGGCGGTTCGACCCTTTCACGCACGAGAGAGAGGTTTCTCCGTCCCTGTCGATGCGCCCTCCGCCATCACGAACAAGGCTCGTCGTCCTTGGTGCCAACTGCTCACGCTGACGCCGCTGCAGCCTCCAACCACTTTAACCGCTACAACCTCTAACCACTTTAACACCATGTTTATCAGCATTGCCTAGCATTCAAATATAGTTGTCAAGAGCAACTACACTTTTGTCAATTGTCACCAGATCACACGATCGCGAATTCAGTTCTATATACTCACTCTCCAATTTAAACTGTTTGATAAATAACTGATTTTGAGAAATACACGTTTTTATATCTCAAAAACTCTATCAGCTAAACAAGCCATTATAACTCTAAACTAAGCTGAATCAAAGACACAACAACGTTCACAAGACAAAATAAATAAAACAAGCACTCTGAACCCTAGAGAGACAGCATCACTCAATGCAAAAACAATAAAATCCACATAAACACAGTTCAAATTGATTTAATTTTGCGAATCTGATGCAAAATTTTGTAATGAGTAACGTAGTATACGAATACTTGGAGAAGCGGGTAGTTGTATTTAGTTTTCAACAACATTGTGTTAACAAATTAAACTCAATATGCAGTGCAAGGCAAAGGGAGAAAAACATGTTGCCTGGACGAAATATGAAGAATACAAAGTAGACTGAGTTACTGGAATGGTGTAGTTTTGAGGTCACACGATCTAGTTTCATTTTGGGGTCGCAAAATCTTGCCAAAGTTGCAACCTTTTTCCGGTTTTGATTCGGAAACAGAAATTGGGCAATGGTGGGATGAGCATAGAAGGGGAACAATAGAAAAAGAGAAGGAAATGGTGAGAGGGGAGTGGAGGCTTCAACTTCACCACAAAGGGAACTACAATTGTTCCTGCACGAAAATAACTCTTTTAGTTTGTTTTTTCAACATTGTTATTGCTCTCTACACTCTTTGCTCTCTCTATGCTTCTCTTTATATCTACTCTGATAGCGTGTAGGAATTGAATATGGAATATAGAAATGAAAGATTATAAAGTACTGATGTAGGAATTGAATATGAAAAATAGAGATTGGCACACAAATACGAGGACCAAATGAGGGTTTAAACCTTTATTTTTATAATGAGAAGCTATTAAAACCTGACAAGGTTGAACGTTGGTGGTCCAACTGACCAAGCGGTAAGGGATTAACCTTCTTGTACAGGATATTTTTACTCAAAACTCTAACGGTCAAATTTAACCGATTAATCTACTTGTTAATCGATTAGCTAATCGATAAATGTACTTGTTAATTGATTAGATAATCAATTAAATGGTAGTTTAATCTATTATTCCAGAGACAATTCGAGTTTTCTATTTTTACTATGATTAATTGATTATTTCTAGGTCTAACCGATTAATTTAATGTGTTTTTGACTCTAAACATAAATTTTATGATTCTAAGATACAAGGAATCAAAACCACTGAGAACCTAAGTCCTAGACACAAAATTACAATTATTATAAAAGTTTTTCATCTCAATACAAGTCTTCAAAAGATCTTCTTGAATCTTGATTTCTCTTGACTTGATTTGGGCATCATCAAAACTTCATTTTCATCATTTTGCTAACACATTTGACCAAGTTGCAAGGGCTTGAACCTTCCTTTAAAAATTGTTATGGAATTTTTTGCTCTTGATGTTAAAGCTAGTATCGATCTGAACTAGTGATGTCGAGACCGAGCGCATGTCTAGTTCCTTGTGGTTTCATGGGGATGCCGCTCAGCCCACGGTGGGCGCCAAATGTTTCGGTTGAATTGGTCCGTGGGTCAGTCATCCATCCTTACTCTACTCTCTTTCGATCGTCCAATCCTTTCTGAGAATGCAATTCACTCCGATGGGTTCTTGACCAATCATATATTTATAGGGCTTGTGGAAACCAAGCACATTAATTAACCATTAAGGAAGTATATTTTTAGGCAATCAAACCCAATAATCAATTATTAATACCATGTATTTGTAAAGCATAAGGAAATCTGACCCATTAATATCTACTGATATACTTAATTGTCCATAAATGACCATTAACTCTAATCGGTATATTTCATATAATACATTTATTAATAAAAAATTATAATTGATTTGTGAAATAAAGTCTAAATTAATTTCTTACATTAGTTACTAAAGTTTTAGCTATCATAATTGTCATTATCATGATTTTTATGATGTTTATTTTTATCTTGATATTTGTATTATTATTTTTTAAAATAACTAAGAGTTTATGAAATAATTTTGAAAAGAAAAATAATTGGATTTTATTTGTGGAATATTATGTAATCAAGTGAAAATCTCATAAAATTGAAAAACTTATAAAGGATTGTCAGTTAATTCATTCAAATATATTCTCCAAATCCAATTAGTTGACCCAATTTGTCTAGCGAATAAGATTAAGTTATCAAGTGAGTTATGTCAAATCATCTAGCGACAATATCATGCCTCATTCGCAAAATTTAATATTTAAACATGTTTTCTCTATGGTTTCAATATCTTCTTTCATTCTCATACTAGAAATTGCTTAGGGTGCTGAGAGATTCTTTGGGTTGCTAGGAGCAGTCCCTTCTCCTTCTTAGGTCTTCATCTTCATCGATGGAGGTTTTTTCTCTTTGTCAATGGGAGACATTATTAGAGCATGAACCTACTATCAAAAATCTTAAGAGAGGCCTTATTTTGATCTATAATTTTAATTTTTTCTATATGAAATTGAAATTAAGATGTTAGTAAATACATAAGAATGAAATCTAATTTTGACAATTCTAAATATTCCATGTTAAATTTTTGTTGCCAAATGTTTGATAAAAAAAAAGTTTATTTGTGTTTTTGCAAAATTTGTTAGTTATTTGAGTTATGATAATTGTAGGAGTTATCTAATGTTACACAAGTTTCTTGGAAAAATGATAAATAGGTTTTCACTTTGTTATTTATACAATTTTGTACATTTATCAATATCTTAACCATCTATTATCGATTATAAATTAGTTTTTAATTCAAAAATGAAAACTAATTTAGAACCAATACTAGTAAATAGTTAAAACATTCCTATTCAATGTTACCCATAATATGAGGTAGAGAGGTCTATTACACCTTGTTACATTTTGTTAGATGTGTGTAGGCATGTAGGAATGAGAGATGAAGAAATTGGTGCCATAAATTATAATGACAAGCCACTAGTGAAAATTATACTTTTTATAACGATTTTTTATACCTGTCAAAGTTTAGCAGCTATAGAAAGTGGCGCAATGGTAATTTTGTAAATATGAGAAACTTTTTTACACCAATTATAATAAAAATAGGTATAAAAAGTTTTCTTTTATACGTGCTAATATTATAGTATGTATAAATTAACCGGTTAAATATTATAAGAGGTATAAATTATTTTACATATTCAGTTTGTTTTTCCCGTTATACTTTCCTTTTTTTGTGCAAAACTTCATTTTGATTACCATTGTTGTCCGTTCAGTCATGTTGAGGTGGTTGGGTAAAGCTCTTATTCTCGTTTGAAGTTGTTCGCGTTTTTCATTCACTGTGCGTTTCTCATCTTCTTTTTCGCGTTTGAAGTTGTTTACGTTTGGGTAAAGCAACATTTCTCAACGTGGTCTTTTTCTCTTTCGCACATCAGAAAGCATTTCTCAGCTCGTCTTCCTCACCTTCAGTGGCTCGAGAGCTAATCCTTCACCATCAGAGAGCATCTTCCTCACTTTCAGGTTAGGGTTTCTCCCTCATTTCTTCATCTTCCACCTATTATAATCACATTCTACCAATTATAATCCCTTTCCACCGTTTAAAATCCCTTTTCCACCGATCAATCGGTCCATTCTAGGGTTCCTTGGTTCCTTCACGATTTTGCATCGATTAAAAGTTCTCTTAAGGGTCTGAGGCAAACATTTTTGTGTGGGAGCATCCAATGACATAGTCCTTTGTTTATATTGCAGCAAATGGTTTCAAAAGATCATTTTATATCTTTTGAAGCCTTTGATTGGCTAGTCAAATACGAAGAATACATTTAGCTCGGATGGCTCAATAAGCTACATTTTATTTTTCTTGTCATTCATGATTTCTTCAAGATATGTTTTTAACCTATGTCTTTCAACAGCATTTGCAGCGGCACATTGTTCGAGCTATTGAAGGGTTCATCTCTGTTAACTCCAAGCAGATGGAGTCATATAACTTTTTGAAGGGTTCGTGGAGCTAGCTGCAAGTTTTCTCATGATGAGCAAGTAAGATAACTGTTTTATGACAATGTTTGAGAAATGTTGCAAGTTTTCTCATGATGAACAAGTAAGATAAGTGTTGTATGATAATGTTAGAATAATGCTGAAAGTTTTCTCATGATGAGCAAGTAAGATAACTGTTATATGATAATGTCAGAGTAATTTGTTTTTTTTTTCTTTTTATGCTATGTTTTAGATATGTGGATGATAGCTCTATTAACTCGGTGAAAACTTGGAGTCAAGGTCTATATTTTGTAAATTAAATTTTAGTATTTGTATGCAGTGCCTTTTGACTTATTGGAATTAGATTTTTATTGGTTTATGACACTTTGATATTGTTGGTTACTGTTAAGTTTCACTTGATACCTTCCCCGTGTTTAATAAAACTAATTGCAGTCTTAACAGAATTGGAATTATGGAATTGAATTGCATTCACGTTTTGATTATTATTCAGAGATCAGCGTTATATTGGTATATAATGTCATATGTTCCTGAATGTTATTATGTAATGAAGGGGCATTGTTTGACAACATGTTAATAAATGGAAATTTGGCATTGTTTGATGAACCACTGTTTTGAATGAGAATTTTATATGTCCTGACTGTAATCTAAAATTGTAATGAGTCTAATTTGATATAGTTTGTAAGTTTGCTCATTGTAGTGTATTAATGGTTGATACAGCTTAAGTTCTAACGTGAAATCTGCATGTATTTTCCTCTGTCATCCTGGCTTTCAATTATTGAGTATTACACTTTCTTTACCCAAGAAATACTTAAATGACTGCATTTCTCTCTATATGTACAATTTACATTCCTTCATACACGAGTGAATATGCATTATACGGAAGCTCCATTTGATATAAACTAGCTTCTCAGGATTTCCTCCCTCTTGCTATTATTGTTGGCAGCATCAACAACTAGTTTAGACCTCCACTATCAAATTTTGGATATTAGCAGAAATTTAAATATTAAAATTTGAGCGAGGGCATTTTAATTGAAATATATCCTAAGGAAAAGTAGTGTAATTTGCTGCACTTTGTTGTCGTGGTTGTTCGGTTGAAAATTGTTTCTCCTCCTTTTTGATTTGCCTATAGTTGAACTTTTGAAGTTGTGCTGTAAAATGTTCAAAATTTTGGAACAACATCTTACATACAGAGGGTTTACGCAGCCACCTTTTCATCTTTTGTACTGTCTTTGTTGTCATTATACAGAGAGCTGCAAATACAGGTTGGGGTCAGAAGGAAGACAATCCAAAATGGGGTCACGACAAATTTGAGGGTCCCAAAAAAGAGAGGGGATTTGGCACCAATCAACCAAATCATAATTCAGAAACTAGAGACAGAGATTCACGTTCTAAAGCCCGTTCCAATGATGCTGCATTCGACAACCAACCTAAGAGAAGTGATAGAGAAGAGAGGTCAAGGCGGTGGCGTGATGATGATGATACATATAAGGGAAGGGAAAATAATAATAGAAGAGAAGAGAAAGGATCAAGAAGGTATGGAGATGATGAATTTGAACATAATTCGAGAGAAGAGCGATATAGGAGAGAAGAAAAGAAATCAAGAAAGGATGATTACGATGATATTCCTGAGCAAACAGATCATCGTAGAAGGGAAGACAAGAGGTCAATAAAGCCAGATGATGGTGAGTATGAACTCAAGTTGAGAGATTCNCTAAAATTGTAATGAGTCTAATTTGATATAGTTTGTAAGTTTGCTCATTGTAGTGTATTAATGGTTGATACAGCTTAAGTTCTAACGTGAAATCTGCATGTATTTTCCTCTGTCATCCTGGCTTTCAATTATTGAGTATTACACTTTCTTTACCCAAGAAATGCTTAAATGAATGCATTTCTCTCTATATGCTTAAATGACTGCATTTCTCTCCATATGTAAAATTTACATTCCTTCATACACGAGTGAATATGCATTATACGGAAGCTCCATTTGATATAAACTAGCTTCTCAGGATTTCCTCCCTCTTGCTATTATTGTTGGCAGCATCAACAACTAGTTTAGACCTCCACTATCAAATTTTAATTGAAGTATATCCTAAGGAAAAGTAGTGTAATTTGCTGCTCTTTGTTGTCCTGGTTGTTCGGTTGAAAATTGTTTCTCCTCCTTTTTGATTTGCCTATAGTTGAACTTTTGAAGTTGTGCTGTAAAATGTTCAAAATTTTGGAACAACATCTTACATACAGAGGGTTTATGCAGTCACCTTTTCATGTTTTTTACTGTCTTTGTTGTCAATATACCGAGAGCTGCAAATAATTTACTGCTACAATGGCATGCAGTGTCAAGGTTTTGATGATAAAAGGCATAAGAGGCCTTATGCATTTAAAAATAGTCTACCATTTGCTAACACGTACTCTTATTATTTAATTTATTCATTTTCTTTATTATTTTTATTATGTTGATTTAGATAAAGTAATAAACTTCAATAAAGTTTTATTAATATTCTAGATTATTTTTATGCGGTTATCAGGGAATAAGGATTATGTTTTACTACAAATATGATTAAAGGGGGTTCTCATGATATCCTATAAAAGTTCTTATGTTTTTATTCTCTTTAATGATGGGAAGAAAATACAGGTCAAGTTGACAAAATTCTAGTCTTGAGTGTAAATAGCAAAACTATTGTTTAGATGAAAATAAAATGTGCATAGTCAATCTAATAATTCATTCTAATATCAACAAGTACTATATCTGTTGGATTCTAACATATCCACGGGATTCTAACATCAATATTTGTTGTTCATACAAGCGATGATGTTACATTTACAAAAGTTGTTGCCATTGACCAGAGGGTGAGCCTTTTGCCTATCACCGATCCCACTAGGTGGGAGTCTTGTACTCTTTTTTACTGTGCCATTGACCATGTTGCTTCCTATACTCTTTGCTTCTTCTGTCACCTCTTTTCCTTGTCAGGTGTGCCTTATCTTTAAACCATGGGGTGTTTTTATTCAAAAGTGATAGCAAGATCAATTAGTTTCTATGAAGAGAGAAAGAAGAGATCACAGAGAGCAAACATGGAATCTTATGCTTCTCTTACTATTGTGAATTTCACTTCTTTATGTATTTAATTCTCAAATAATTTGTATTTAATTGTAAGTTACAAAAATACTAATGAATTAAACTTCAGTATTTACTTTGGTTGTGGTCTACTGTGTAGTTATTACATTGTTAGTTATGAGAAGTTATTGGTGATAATTGTGTTTCTGATCAAGATAGTATCTTTGGTCCCCTTTGTTGGGTTAGGTGTAGAGGGAATTAGAAAAGGGTTAAATGAAAAACAAAGCCTCTGCATGATCCATCCAAACAACAACAGTAGTGCATGCCCTTTTGCAAATGTCCCTAACTACATTAATAAAATATATACAACTTGACATTATTTATATATATATTATATTATATATAAGTAGATATATTTTAATTTATGGTTATACAAATTTGATTTTTAAAAGAAAAAAAATATAAGATGTTGTGTCTCTATCCTAACATAACTAATAATATTTGATTTCTTATATTATTATAAAATTCATGATTTTTTTAATTAATCAGAAATATTAATATTATTTTAATCAATATATTAACTGACTAATTTTATTTATGTTAGTCCTTTTTCTAGTTGCAGCAAGTCAACAATATTCAAGACAACAAATCATTGAAATTAGGAAAGATTGAGGTTTCCATGTAATTATACCTGTTTATAAGTTATGTTTATTTGATGCAACATGATTATTATTATATCTATATATCTCTAATATATATAAATCTCTAGATATCATAATATATATATATATAAATATCTATTCATGGTTTATATATGTGTCCTTCTAGGTAATGTCATGTCATGACACTGGACGACTCAACGATTATAGTTTGAAATATTGTTCTATTAGTAGTTTTTATTTATACTAATGAATATTCTTGTTGAGATCTTTGTGTGTCATATTTTTCTTAATATGTACTTTTTTGTAGTAGTGAACATTGATTATTTTTGTTGTAATTGATTTATTTAAACTGTATTCTAGGATTCATTTTATGCAGGTCTGGATATGGATAGCAGCACATACAAATCAATAAATTTTAAAAAAAAATCTATTTTTACATCAGTTAAATCCATTTTGGGTATAAAAAGTTTTGTTTTTTCACACCAGTTATATTATTAGCAGGTATAAAAGTGAGATTCTTTTATACCTATTCTAACAGCAGCAGGTACAAAAAAGAATTTTTTCTCTGTCATCAGGGGACTTTTTATACCTTTCCCAGAGTACCATGTGTAAATATTATATTTTTATACCTATTATAAATGAAACAGGTTTAAAAGTAAAACTTTTTACACCGATTTAAGAGGTGGTATAAAAAATAAAAAAAATTCTATACATTTACTTCTATATCTGCTTGAAAATAGGTATAAAAAGTCTTTTTAAGAGGTATAAAAAATCTTTTTTGCACTAGTGAGCACAAAAGGATTAAATGAACAAGACTAAGAGATCAACAATAAAATCATGATGATAGTGATAAAACGATAAAAGGTGTATCAAACAAGATAACTTTCTGTAAGAGGGATTTTATGAAGTATTGAATTAGGTTTTAGTAATTTAGGTTATCTCACATTTATATATAGGGTGTTGCTCCCTCCACCACCACACCTTTCTTCCTCCCCAATTTTCTTTAATTCCAATTATATCCTTAGATTAAAATATTTTATTTTTACTATTTTACTATTTTAATTTATTTCAAACCTAGTTCTCCTACTTTACTCCGTGCACCTAATATTTCCATCTCCCATTTCCGTTTAACAATTTGTCTTCCGTTTTACTCTACAACTCCATTTGTCTTCTCCGTTTCACTTCTCTTCCTCTGTTTCTTTCTTCTCATTTTCCTTACATTATTAAAATACATTAAAATATATTCAAAATAATAAATCAAAAACATTTTTAAATTAAATTATTAAAATATCTCCGAAATAAATAATAAACTAATAAAACAAATCCTAAAATAAAAAACATAATCTTTAAACGGAGGTGACATCCTTCAACGGATGTCAACATCCGTTTAAGGAAAAACGAATGTCGACATCCGTTTTACCTTAAACGAATGTTGACTTCCATTGAAGGATGTCACTCCGTTTAAAGGTTACATTTTTTATTTTAGGATTTTATTTGAAGGTTTATTCGAATACGCACCTGAAGGAAGCACCCCACGCACTGCACCACGAAAGGGAGACTGCTTCATAATTCTTTCCACCACCACCAACCTTTGCGACCTGTATCTCACAACGACGAAAGAAAGAGAAGAAGAAGTATAATGTTAAAATGAAAGAAAAGTATTTTACTTATGTACAGGACTAGAATATGTTATTAGTGGAATAAGTTGTGAATGGGTAAAATTAAAAAATAATAACCCTAAAAATAAAATTTTATTTAGGGACAAAATAATAAATGGAAGGTGGAGGGAGAAAGGTGTGGTGGTGGAGGGAGCAACACCCTTATATATATATATATATATATTCTTTGTAAAAAGACTGAAGTATGCTAAATACTTTTTTATTTATTCCATCTTTACTGCCAATAAAAAGAAAAAAGAAAAAAAAACTATGTATAGCTAGATCCAAGGCCGCGGGCATCGGCAAGTCCTAGCACATTCACTGATTGCCAAAAGACTTGTTGGATTAACCGGTTTCAGTTACAAATGAGAATCTCTTTTGTTGAATCACTGCTATTTTGACAAACACGATTGCTGGATTGAACTGTTTAAAACATAAAAATATAATATTTTTAGTTATGAATTGTATAATTTGAAAGATTTATGGATTGTACAGTTAAAACTTATTAAATTGAAAAAAAAACACTACTTTTATTTATTTTATGGATTAATTGGTATTTCAAAATTATGGTGCAGAAAACAATAGCGATTGTTCTTTTAAAATATTTTGTGGGTTAGAAAAGTCAAGCATGGCAGACACTTAACAAAAATGGAAATGGTCCGAAGACCAGTTGATTGTCCTATTAGAATTGATTTTATAGGTTAGAAAATGACAGATGTTAGACATTGGAAAAGAATAAAAGGAAAGTGGTCCATAGACACCTTAAGCTATTCATTATTGTATTCAATGCATTTAACGAATTACAAAAAATAAGTAGCTGAGGACACTTGAAGGGAAAAAATGAAATTATTGGTCCAAAATTGTTGTATTCCTTCGTTTAAAAAAAGTGAAAATGGTCCAAAAACTTTACACTATTGATTGTCTTTATTCTAATACATTTTATGCGTTAGAAATTAAGCGTGTTAGAACACAAACAAAAATGAAAATAGTCCAATTACTTTTAAGGTATTCATAGTCCTACTCAATCCATTTTTATAAGTTAGAAACTAATGCCTAATCCTCAACACAGATCTATTATGAATATATTAATATTTGATCTCCCATTCTTTATCAATTTCATATATAAAAGATTATAAGCAAAGTCCAGAATAAAAAAAAAAAAAACTAAGGTTCTATATATTTTACAAACCTTGACCAATTCCCCAAAGACACATCCAATTGTATAACCTCGATGCATATTATGCTTGATAGGCAACAACAAATATATAAGACAAAAAACAGCATATCATAAGTCATTATCAATGTTGACATGATGTTTGCTCTTTTTTCTAACTTATTTTGCAAGTTAGAAAAACTATGAAGGTGATGAAAAAGAGACTTACTTCACATAATATATATATATATATATATTATATATATATTCGAAGCGTGGTATATTTTGATTTATCATCCTGTATCTAGTCACAGATTTTAAAAGCTATAAAAAGAACTATAAATTCTGAGAAAAAAATATTAATTATAGTAAAGCATATTTACGGTCAATTCGATTTTATTGGCTAAATTGAATTTTAAAATTTAATAGCGTGATTATATTTATAGAAAGAGTAGTGATTTATGACACTAAAAATGTCGACTATAACACTTCACTTAGAGAGAGAATTAAAATAAGAGACCGATAGAAAGAAAAAAATTAGTGTAGTAGACAAAATCGTAGAAAAAAACATGGAATTATCGACGGTTTTTTATCGACAGACTTATTTTCGTCGATAAATGATGCATTACCGACGGCTTTTATGGACGGATGTAAAAAATGTATTTTATTGACGGATATGGTCTTTCGGTAATTATCGACAGCCAAAGTCCTTCGGTAATTACCGACGGTCAAAATTCTTCGATAAAGCCTTCGGTAAAAAGAGCGGCAAAATTTCGCCCATTTTTTCACTCTCTCTAGGCAAGGAAAACTACATTTTCTCACTCACAAATCACTTTCATCATTTTTTCGTTCTTCTCAAACCATTTCTCACGTTCTCTTCCATCATTTTTTTCTCTCGTGCAACCATCTTCCCACACTATCACTGCTTCCGTTGGAGAGTGTCACCGCTGCTGTTGGAGAGTGCCACCTCTGCCGTTGGAGAGCGTCACCGATGCCGTTGGGAGAACGCCACCGCAGCCTTTGAGAGAACGCTACCACTACCGCGAGAGAACGCCACCACTGCCAGCGTGGGAGAACCATGCGAAGCGTCGCTGTTGTCGTTGGAGAGCGCCACCGTTGCCATGGGAGAACACCATTGCCGTGAAAGCTTCACTGCCATTGGGGACTTTTTCCAATTTTAGGGTTTCTAAAACTATTGAAGAACCTAAGTGTACCCTTTGATTTTGGTTTTGGAATGAATTGAATTGTTGTTTTGGTTTAGGAATGAAGAAAGTTGGTTAAAAAAAATGAAAATCGAAGGATACAGAAGAAGGGGAAAGAGGAAGAAGATGAACTAGATCGACATATTTACCAACGGACTTATCGAAGGCTTTTGTTCTTCGGTAATCCGTCGGTAAATGTTACCGACAACGATATTACCAACGGACCTAAGTCCGTCGGTAAGCTGTCGGAAAAATGACATTACCTACGGATTTTGGCCATTTCCGACGAATTTTGGTCGTTGGTAATAATTATTTTTTTTGTACATCAATATTTTCCTTATATGAATAACTAATAGACTTTTGCTTTACTACATTAAAAGTATCTACAATTTGAAGTTTTTTTCAGATTTTATCTTCACAAATAAACTATATGTAAATTTTATATTCATAATTTATCTTTAGTCCACTACGTTTATAAGAATGTGCAATCTACTCTAATAATGTTTAATCAAAGTTTTTATAGATATATTTATAGTAATAGAATAAACATGTAAGAATAGCTTTAAGCTCCAGCTAATCAATTAATATTTAAGATAAACAATTACCTCACTTATAGTAATTAATTAGGGTATCAATTATTTATACATTTTTGAAACAAGTTTTGGAAAAAAAGATTAAATTTTACTCAAAGACAACTAAATTTGATATATAAATTGTTGCAAACTAGGTTTAATACACGATTTGCACTTATTTACTCAAGAAACTAATTAAAAGTTACAAACCATAAAAAAAAATATATCATACATGATCAAAACTAAAAGATATTATTAAGGAGTCATCTACTCTTCAAAGGCCTTGATCAACACAAGACTCAAACCCTCAAATTCATTAATCTCTACAGTGGATTACATTCATACCAAGCCGATACTTTGGGTGCTACTAGTCTTTGAGCCATCGTTGAAACTTTGCTATTTTCACTTCAGTCACTACAAGTATATAGTCTATCAGTCTATTCAATAACATCAAGTAAGCAACTCTCCATGATTGCCAAAATAGTAATGGACCCAATAAGCCCCAGAAGCCTATGAAGAACCCTAGCCCCAAGCTCATGTAAAATGCTCCATAGAAAATTGAATTATCATCTTCATCATGCTCTTCTGGCCCTTCAGACTTTATCATTGTCTCATCTCCAGGACATATTTTTTCAAGTGGTTTCCCACAAAGATCAAGATTTCCTTCAAAACTTGAGGCATCAAAGGTTTGCAAAGAGTAGAAGGAATTTTTCCAGAGAAATTGTTTCGTGATAGGTCAAGCGAGTCTAGTAAACTTAAGTTCCCAATCTCCGAAGGAATTTCACCATTCAAATTGTTTCTTGATAAATTCAAAGAAACTAACCCAAACATGTATGTAATCTCTTTTGGCATTTCACCTGTTAAGTTGTTAGATGAGAGATCAATGCTCTGAAGAATCAATTCGGGACGTGTGAAGCTGCCGTTCCATACCTTTCCACATCCACGTTATGTGGTATTGTACCAATGCACACGACTTTCAGTTTCATCTTTGTCGATGCTCTTTTGATCGAGATACTGTAAGTGTTTGAGATTCCCAATCTGAATAGGAATTTCACCCCAAAGATAATTATCCCCAAGATTTAGACAGCGTAGTTGTAAGAGATTTCCAAATGTAGAAGGAATCCTCCCTGAAAAATAAGAATTGGAGAGATCGAGATATCTTAAGTTGGAGAAAGAGCCCATGAACTCTGGGATGTAACTCAGTACCAAATAATTATGGCTGAGATCAAGATGTTGAATATATGTCAAGTGAATCAATGGATTACACTTCTCAAACGCTGTGAACTAAGATTAAGTAGACGTATATGACCTGTTTGATGGTTGCACTGAATGTGTTTCCATTTGCAGGAATCTGTATTATTGTGATGGTTGGTCCAAGTGGACAGCATGTCAAAGTCATGTGTGATGCCTTGTTTGAAGCTGAGAAGTGCTTTCCTCTCCCTTTCTATGCACTTTGCTTCACCACTTGAGTTGTTCAATGTCGCACTAATTCCCGAGGCAACCAAAGAAAGAAGAAGAGCATAAAATGTTATGAGAAAATAAGCATTCATTTTTTTTCTCATGTCAGATAATCTTAACATAGAAGAGAGTAAACAAGAGTATACTGCGAAAAACAAAAACTGTGATTCAGTCTTTTCTCTTTCACCTGTTTATAAAGCTCCATGGCATCATTTATCTATTCATAATTCTAAGGATCGGCTGCCACTTTGTAAAACTCGATGATGTGCCTAAATTTTATTTAATTTGGCTTTTTCCTGAATGAGTAGATCATTTAATTTTAGAGTTATCGAATTTTAACTCCTGAATTTTAATCTATGGGTAAGAAAATTAACCACTAATGTACATAATGAGGAAAAATAAAACTATTTCAGAAAAATCGTAAGTTGTTGTAGCTTACAAAATTAAGCAATTAGACATTTTAAAAAATGAAAAATAAAACTAGTTCAAATTAAGATATTGCTCGTTCTGATCGAATCATATATTAAGCACATTTGAATACATTTTAAGTTTTAGAAAAAATAAGCATCTTGGAAATTTTAAAATAGAAATATTAAGCTTTAGATATTTCAAAAGAAGAAAATGAGAGTAGTCCAAAAAATTCGTGAATTGTTACGTTTGAATCCATTTTATGGGTTAGAAAAATTAAGGATCTTAGACACTTTCAAATAAGAAAATGAAATTGGTTCAAAAAACTTGAGGATTGTACAATTCTAATCTATTTTACTGTTGATGAGAAAAAGAAAAAGAATAAAACATTCAAATTATCACACAAATAAAATGAAAACAAAAGGATAAAATAATTTATTTTATCCTTTTGTATTCTAAGCTCATATGATCTTTATTTATATTTGTTTTAGTTTTGTATTCTGAGTTCATATCTTTATTTAATATTTTGATTATAATTTATTCTATAAATATTATTTTTGGTGAGATCTAATTGTATTGCTTTTTTATATTTATAGNATATTTAAGATAAACAATTACCTCACTTATAGTAATTAATTAGGGTATCAATTATTTATACATTTTTGAAACAAGTTTTGGAAAAAAAGATTAAATTTTACTCAAAGACAACTAAATTTGATATATAAATTGTTGCAAACTAGGTTTAATACACGATTTGCACTTATTTACTCAAGAAACTAATTAAAAGTTACAAACCATAAAAAAAAATATATCATACATGATCAAAACTAAAAGATATTATTAAGGAGTCATCTACTCTTCAAAGGCCTTGATCAACACAAGACTCAAACCCTCAAATTCATTAATCTCTACAGTGGATTACATTCATACCAAGCCGATACTTTGGGTGCTACTAGTCTTTGAGCCATCATTGAAACTTTGCTATTTTCACTTCAGTCACTACAAGTATATAGTCTATCAGTCTATTCAATAACATCAAGTAAGCAACTCTCCATGATTGCCAAAATAGTAATGGACCCAATAAGCCCCAGAAGCCTATGAAGAACCCTAGCCCCAAGCTCATGTAAAATGCTCCATAGAAAATTGAATTATCATCTTCATCATGCTCTTCTGGCCCTTCAGACTTTATCATTGTCTCATCTCCAGGACATATTTTTTCAAGTGGTTTCCCACAAAGATCAAGATTTCCTTCAAAACTCGAGGCATCAAAGGTTTGCAACTGTCTTCCCCACGGAATTCTTCCACTGAGATGGTTCTTTGATAAGTCTAACATGGCAAGACGATCTATATTAGAAAGAGTAGAAGGAATTTTTCCAGAGAAATTGTTTCGTGATAGGTCAAGCGAGTCTAGTAAACTTAAGTTCCCAATCTCCGAAGGAATTTCACCATTCAAATTGTTTCTTGATAAATTCAAAGAAACTAACCCAAGCATGTATGTAATCTCTTTTGGCATTTCACCTGTTAAGTTGTTAGATGAGAGATCAATGCTCTGAAGAATCAATTCGGGACGTGTGAAGCTGCGTTCCATACCTTTCCACATCCACGTTATATGAAACGTATAATAACTAGCACCGAAAAAATTATAAATTTCATAGTAAGTAGTATTGTACCAATGCACACGACTTTCAGTTTCAGCTTTGTCGGTGCTCTTTTGAGAGAATGCTGTAAAATTGTTTAAGCAAGTTGGAATTCCGTGAGACATCTTATTTCTGGAAAGATCCAACAATTGAATACGCTTTAAATAACACAGATGAAGGGGAATATCTCCAGAGAACTGATTCCCTCGCATGATCAAGATTATCAATTGCTGCATGTTTTCTCCAACCCATGATGGTATTGAACCGGACAACATATTCTCACTCACATCCAACATAATTAAATTGTTGCAATTCTTCAAAGAGAAAGGCAATTCGCCCGTTAAATTATTGTTTCGTAAAACCAAAGCTTCCAATTTGACAAGGGTACCCATGGAGATAGGAATCTTCCCTGACAATTGATTGATGCTTAAATCAAGAAAGAGTAATCCATTTACTGATTTCCAGCAATCGGGAAGTTGCCCCTTTATTTGATTATCTGATAAATCTAAAGTGGCCAAGCTTGTAGTTGTGACATTTACACATACGAAATCTGAGAATTTATTTGCGGAGAGTAACAACTCAAGCTTGTAGCAAAAATAATGGAACTTTTCCTTCAAATTTATTTGAATTTAAATTTATAGATAAGCTTCAATTGCATATTAGGGATTGAACCCATGAGATTATTGTGAGACATATTCAAAGTGCACAGAACTTGCAACTTGTTCCAAAACCATTCTGGTACGAAATCATTCAGCCCATTATCAGATATATCTAATTGGATTAAGGAATTTTGAGTTTGAATCCAACTAGGAAAATTCGGACCTATCTTGCAAGATGCAAGAAACAAGAACCTTAATTGAAAAGGAGGAACCCAACCAGAGACAAATTTTAGAGAGAGAGAGTTGTGTGATAAGTATAAGGAAAGTAATTTGGAAAAGTTGGAAAGATGAGATTCAGTGACATCACCCTCTAAAGAATTCCCCTCTAATAATAAAAACTCCAACTCAGATAGTAGTTTGATGCTTTTGGGTATAATGCCAGTAATTTGGTTGTAAGATAGGTTGAATACCCGAAATATGTGTCTGCTGCACCATGAAGAATTTTGCACAAAGTTTGGAAATTTTCCATGCAACCTGTTATTTGAGAGGTCTAATCTTTGTAATCTGCACATGCTCCCAAAGAAAGAAGGAACCTTGCCTTCTAGTTTGCTATTGTAATTTGTAATTTATTGACATGTGAGTAGATATAGTTTATTCCTTAAAGTTAACGCTTTATATATTTTTGCCAACTCAGACATTTGTTAGTTGTTTTGCTGATAACTTCTTCCGAACTCCAAATGAGTTGATTCTTGTTTTGTTGGATTCTAGACTCAAAGACCTTTCACATTATGCCTTGGTAATCAAGTGTAGGCCTTTTTGGCTATTGTAATCGATTACAAGAAATAAAATTCTGGTTTTGTACAAAAGTTGGTGGTGTAGAAGCTCGCTGTGGGCACATAAGTAGCCAAAGACATGTTACGTAATTGAATTGAATATTTTTTTTAGGCACATGTGTGATGTGATTCTTTTTTTAGGCACAAACACTCAATTGAATTGGATCTTTTTTTAGGCACCAACACTCAGGCCTGTCAAGGTCGCTTACAGAATCAATTTTTATACCAAACACCCATAACCAAATAAAAGTTTCAATATATATGGTCGAACAACACTAGTAGAGAACGTATGGTACTAGATCAAAATTGAAATTTTATTCCTATAATATATTATCAGTACATATTACCCAACATTTAAAGACCCGTGAGAGTGAAAGCAATGCTCCAGACAAAGTGAAAATGGTGGAGAGAGACGAAGAAGAGGAAAATGATGCCAACCCGAAAACCGGAACACATGAAGACGAGATTTCTTTCGATGGATAGGAAGACCTGCGAGAATAAAAGCAATGCTCCACAGAAAGTGAAAATGGTGGAGAGAGACGAAGAAGACGGAAACGAAAATGGTGGAGAGAGAGGAAGCCTCAAATGAAACTGCGAAATGAAGAGGAGAATCTCAAATACCTTTCCAAAAATACCCTCCAAAACAAAATACACCCTCTTAATAAAATATTATAAACCAACTGATAATGCTAATTCTTACCATTATCTAAGCATCATTTTAGTAGCAAAATCAACTCTTCTTTAGCTTATTACTTGCTTAAATCCTCTCTTTTATTTAGTTTTAGTATTTATCTATATTTTGGGCTACATTACGTAAATAATACTCTAATCCCTTGTTTTCTTTGATCTATTTTGATGTTAGGAAAATCCTCCATTACATTGAAGAGCCTCAGTGATCCAGGAAGTAATTGATTTAACAGTCATTTTCGCTTAAGCGAGAATAATTTAGCTTAAGCGAGAATGACTATCTTCTCCAAGAAGAATTCTCGCTTAAGCGAGAATAATTTAGCTTAAGCGAGAATTCGGGCAGTATATATACTCACAAGGCAGAAAGAAAACGGGTCTTTGGTTCTTTGGAGGCGCGATTTCACGTCTGGAGCTCATGGAGGGCGCGAGGAGCTTGTGGGAACATCTCCTCCTCTTCCTTTGGGTCTCCTTCTTCTTCCATCTTCCATGTTTGTAAGCTTTAGGGTTCTCCATGGAAATGGAGAACCAGATTCATCTTGTTAGGGTTAGATGTAGCCTATGAACTCTTGTGTAATGAATGATTGTTTCGTATTTATAAATGCCTTTTCTATCTATTACTAGTATTCTTGTTTCCGATCTTAAAGCTTGCATGTAATGGGGACGTTCATGACTTGATTTTGGGGTTTCATTGAGCTATGATTTTTTATTTTACTGTTTATCTTTTCCTACACCACCTTCTGACTCACCCATCCCCTCACTTGCACCACGAAAGGGAGACTGCTTCATAATTCTTTCCACCACCACCAACCTTTGCGACCTGTATCTCACAACGACGAAAGAAAGAGAAGAAGAAGTATAATGTTAAAATGAAAGAAAAGTATTTTACTTATGTACAGGACTAGAATATGTTATTAGTGGAATAAGTTGTGAATGGGTAAAATTAAAAAATAATAACCCTAAAAATAAAATTTTATTTAGGGACAAAATAATAAATGGAAGGTGGAGGGAGAAAGGTGTGGTGGTGGAGGGAGCAACACCCTTATATATATATATATATATATATTCTTTGTAAAAAGACTGAAGTATGCTAAATACTTTTTTATTTATTCCATCTTTACTGCCAATAAAAAGAAAAAAGAAAAAAAAACTATGTATAGCTAGATCCAAGGCCGCGGGCATCGGCAAGTCCTAGCACATTCACTGATTGCCAAAAGACTTGTTGGATTAACCGGTTTCAGTTACAAATGAGAATCTCTTTTGTTGAATCACTGCTATTTTGACAAACACGATTGCTGGATTGAACTGTTTAAAACATAAAAATATAATATTTTTAGTTATGAATTGTATAATTTGAAAGATTTATGGATTGTACAGTTAAAACTTATTAAATTGAAAAAAAAACACTACTTTTATTTATTTTATGGATTAATTGGTATTTCAAAATTATGGTGCAGAAAACAATAGCGATTGTTCTTTTAAAATATTTTGTGGGTTAGAAAAGTCAAGCATGGCAGACACTTAACAAAAATGGAAATGGTCCGAAGACCAGTTGATTGTCCTATTAGAATTGATTTTATAGGTTAGAAAATGACAGATGTTAGACATTGGAAAAGAATAAAAGGAAAGTGGTCCATAGACACCTTAAGCTATTCATTATTGTATTCAATGCATTTAACGAATTACAAAAAATAAGTAGCTGAGGACACTTGAAGGGAAAAAATGAAATTATTGGTCCAAAATTGTTGTATTCCTTCGTTTAAAAAAAGTGAAAATGGTCCAAAAACTTTACACTATTGATTGTCTTATTCCTAATACATTTTTATGCGTTCGAAAATTAAGCGTGTTAAAAACAAACAAAAATGAAAATAGTCCAATTACTTTAAGGTATTCATAGTCCTTAACAAATCCATTTTATAAGTTAGAAAAACTAATGCCTATCCGCAAACACAGATCTATTATGAATATATTAATATTTGATCTCCCATTCTTTATCAATTTCATATATAAAAGATTATAAGCAAAGTCCAGAATAAAAAAAAAAAAAACTAAGGTTCTATATATTTTACAAACCTTGACCAATTCCCCAAAGACACATCCAATTGTATAACCTCGATGCATATTATGCTTGATAGGCAACAACAAATATATAAGACAAAAAACAGCATATCATAAGTCATTATCAATGTTGACATGATGTTTGCTCTTTTTTCTAACTTATTTTGCAAGTTAGAAAAACTATGAAGGTGATGAAAAAGAGACTTACTTCACATAATATATATATATATATATATAGATAATATAATAGATATCTAATATTATATATATCTATATCTCTATATCTCTCAATTTTGCACGCGTGGTACGCTATTTGATTATAATCAGGTATCTAGTCACAGATTTTAAAAGCTATAAAAAGAACTATAAATTCTGAGAAAAAAATATTAATTATAGTAAAGCATATTTACGGTCAATTCGATTTTATTGGCTAAATTGAATTTTAAAATTTAATAGCGTGATTATATTTATAGAAAGAGTAGTGATTTATGACACTAAAAATGTCGACTATAACACTTCACTTAGAGAGAGAATTAAAATAAGAGACCGATAGAAAGAAAAAAATTAGTGTAGTAGACAAAATCGTAGAAAAAAACATGGAATTATCGACGGTTTTTTATCGACAGACTTATTTTCGTCGATAAATGATGCATTACCGACGGCTTTTATGGACGGATGTAAAAAATGTATTTTATTGACGGATATGGTCTTTCGGTAATTATCGACAGCCAAAGTCCTTCGGTAATTACCGACGGTCAAAATTCTTCGATAAAGCCTTCGGTAAAAAGAGCGGCAAAATTTCGCCCATTTTTTCACTCTCTCTAGGCAAGGAAAACTACATTTTCTCACTCACAAATCACTTTCATCATTTTTTCGTTCTTCTCAAACCATTTCTCACGTTCTCTTCCATCATTTTTTTCTCTCGTGCAACCATCTTCCCACACTATCACTGCTTCCGTTGGAGAGTGTCACCGCTGCTGTTGGAGAGTGCCACCTCTGCCGTTGGAGAGCGTCACCGATGCCGTTGGGAGAACGCCACCGCAGCCTTTGAGAGAACGCTACCACTACCGCGAGAGAACGCCACCACTGCCAGCGTGGGAGAACCATGCGAAGCGTCGCTGTTGTCGTTGGAGAGCGCCACCGTTGCCATGGGAGAACACCATTGCCGTGAAAGCTTCACTGCCATTGGGGACTTTTTCCAATTTTAGGGTTTCTAAAACTATTGAAGAACCTAAGTGTACCCTTTGATTTTGGTTTTGGAATGAATTGAATTGTTGTTTTGGTTTAGGAATGAAGAAAGTTGGTTAAAAAAAATGAAAATCGAAGGATACAGAAGAAGGGGAAAGAGGAAGAAGATGAACTAGATCGACATATTTACCAACGGACTTATCGAAGGCTTTTGTTCTTCGGTAATCCGTCGGTAAATGTTACCGACAACGATATTACCAACGGACCTAAGTCCGTCGGTAAGCTGTCGGAAAAATGACATTACCTACGGATTTTGGCCATTTCCGACGAATTTTGGTCGTTGGTAATAATTATTTTTTTTGTACATCAATATTTTCCTTATATGAATAACTAATAGACTTTTGCTTTACTACATTAAAAGTATCTACAATTTGAAGTTTTTTTCAGATTTTATCTTCACAAATAAACTATATGTAAATTTTATATTCATAATTTATCTTTAGTCCACTACGTTTATAAGAATGTGCAATCTACTCTAATAATGTTTAATCAAAGTTTTTATAGATATATTTATAGTAATAGAATAAACATGTAAGAATAGCTTTAAGCTCCAGCTAATCAATTAATATTTAAGATAAACAATTACCTCACTTATAGTAATTAATTAGGGTATCAATTTATTTATACATTTTTTGACAAGTTTTTGGAAAAAAAGATTAAATTTTACTCAAAGACAACTAAATTAGATATATAAATTGTTGCAAACTAGGTTTAATACATGATTTCCACTTATTCACTAAGAAACTACTTAAAAGTTACAACCATAAAAAAAATATGATACATGATCAAAACTAAGATATTATGAAGGAGTCATCTACTCTTCAAAGGCCTTGATCAACACAAGACTCAAACCCTCAAAGCATTAATCTCTACAGTGGATTACATTCATACCAAGCCGATACTTTGGGTGCTACTAGTCTTTGAGCCATCGTTGAAACTTTGCTATTTTCACTTCAGTCACTACAAGTATATAGTCTATCAGTCTATTCAATAACATCAAGTAAGCAACTCTCCATGATTGGGGGGGCCAAAAGTATGGACCCAATAAGCCCCAGACAGAAGTCCTATGAATACCCTAGCCCCAGCTCATGTAAAATGCTCATAGAAAATTGGATTATCATCTTCACACTCTTCGGGCCCTTCAGACTTTATCATTGTCTCATCTCCAGGACATATTTTTTCAAGTGGTTTCCCACAAAGATCAAGATTTCCTTCAAAACTTGAGGCATCAAAGGTTTGCAAAGAGTAGAAGGAATTTTTCCAGAGAAATTGTTTCGTGATAGGTCAAGCGAGTCTAGTAAACTTAAGTTCCCAATCTCCGAAGGAATTTCACCATTCAAATTGTTTCTTGATAAATTCAAAGAAACTAACCCAAACATGTATGTAATCTCTTTTGGCATTTCACCTGTTAAGTTGTTAGATGAGAGATCAATGCTCTGAAGAATCAATTCGGGACGTGTGAAGCTGCCGTTCCATACCTTTCCACATCCACGTTATGTGGTATTGTACCAATGCACACGACTTTCAGTTTCATCTTTGTCGATGCTCTTTTGATCGAGATACTGTAAGTGTTTGAGATTCCCAATCTGAATAGGAATTTCACCCCAAAGATAATTATCCCCAAGATTTAGACAGCGTAGTTGTAAGAGATTTCCAAATGTAGAAGGAATCCTCCCTGAAAAATAAGAATTGGAGAGATCGAGATATCTTAAGTTGGAGAAAGAGCCCATGAACTCTGGGATGTAACTCAGTACCAAATAATTATGGCTGAGATCAAGATGTTGAATATATGTCAAGTGAATCAATGGATTACACTTCTCAAACGCTGTGAACTAAGATTAAGTAGACGTATATGACCTGTTTGATGGTTGCACTGAATGTGTTTCCATTTGCAGGAATCTGTATTATTGTGATGGTTGGTCCAAGTGGACAGCATGTCAAAGTCATGTGTGATGCCTTGTTTGAAGCTGAGAAGTGCTTTCCTCTCCCTTTCTATGCACTTTGCTTCACCACTTGAGTTGTTCAATGTCGCACTAATTCCCGAGGCAACCAAAGAAAGAAGAAGAGCATAAAATGTTATGAGAAAATAAGCATTCATTTTTTTTCTCATGTCAGATAATCTTAACATAGAAGAGAGTAAACAAGAGTATACTGCGAAAAACAAAAACTGTGATTCAGTCTTTTCTCTTTCACCTGTTTATAAAGCTCCATGGCATCATTTATCTATTCATAATTCTAAGGATCGGCTGCCACTTTGTAAAACTCGATGATGTGCCTAAATTTTATTTAATTTGGCTTTTTCCTGAATGAGTAGATCATTTAATTTTAGAGTTATCGAATTTTAACTCCTGAATTTTAATCTATGGGTAAGAAAATTAACCACTAATGTACATAATGAGGAAAAATAAAACTATTTCAGAAAAATCGTAAGTTGTTGTAGCTTACAAAATTAAGCAATTAGACATTTTAAAAAATGAAAAATAAAACTAGTTCAAATTAAGATATTGCTCGTTCTGATCGAATCATATATTAAGCACATTTGAATACATTTTAAGTTTTAGAAAAAATAAGCATCTTGGAAATTTTAAAATAGAAATATTAAGCTTTAGATATTTCAAAAGAAGAAAATGAGAGTAGTCCAAAAAATTCGTGAATTGTTACGTTTGAATCCATTTTATGGGTTAGAAAAATTAAGGATCTTAGACACTTTCAAATAAGAAAATGAAATTGGTTCAAAAAACTTGAGGATTGTACAATTCTAATCTATTTTACTGTTGATGAGAAAAAGAAAAAGAATAAAACATTCAAATTATCACACAAATAAAATGAAAACAAAAGGATAAAATAATTTATTTTATCCTTTTGTATTCTAAGCTCATATGATCTTTATTTATATTTGTTTTAGTTTTGTATTCTGAGTTCATATCTTTATTTAATATTTTGATTATAATTTATTCTATAAATATTATTTTTGGTGAGATCTAATTGTATTGCTTTTTTATATTTATAGTGCTTTAAAACATAGATATGGTTTGCATTTGAAGTTCTCTCTCTTTTTTCTAGATATATATAGATATATATATAATATATATATATATAATATATATATATATATTATATATATA